CTCTCTCCCTGCCCCTGTGTCACCTTTCCTGTCCCCGTGTCCCCCTCCCCTGTGGCCCCTTGTCCCCCCGTCCCCATACCCTGGAGGACGCGGAGCCGCTGTCCCGCCCGGCGCAGGCGGGCGCTGAGGGTGACCATGGTCCTGGTGGCTGCTGTCACCTCAGCCTCGCGTGCTGTCACCACCTCGGCCAGCCTGGGGGACAGGGGGACAAGGGGACATGACAAGGTGACAAGAGGGGGACAGGACGGGGACAGGGTGAGGGGGACAAGGGGACAGAAGGACATGACAGGGTGACAGGACAGAAGGACAAGGGGACATGGGACAGGATGGGGGACAGGGGAACATGACAGGGGACAGGATGGGGGACAGGACAGGGGACAAGGGGACAGGGGTATGCAACAGGGGGACAAGGGGACACAACAGGGGGACAAGGCGACAGGATGGGGGGACAAGGGGACACATATGACACAGGGACAGCAGGACCCAAGACACGGGGACAGGACCAGCAGTGACATACAGGGACGGTGACACTGGTGCCCTCCCAGTTTCCCCACCCTGGTCTCCTCCCAGTATCCCCCAGATGCCTCTCAGGTCCTTCCAAGTTCCCCCTCCCAGGGTCCCCAGTGCCTCCCAGTACTCCCCCAGCCCCTGTCCCAGTGTCACCGCAGCTCCTCCCCCAGTGCCCAGTTCCTCCCCAGTCCCTCTTAGTGCCCCTCCCAGTTGTCCCCCAGTCCCTCCAGTTCCTCCCAGTCCCCTCCCAGTACCTGGCAGCCGCCCGCACCAGTCCTCCCAGTGCCTCCTCAGCCGCCTCTGCCCGTCCCCGCTGCCGTGTCACCTCCTGTGCCAGGCGCTGGGACAAGTGCCACTTTGTCCCCAAGCTGTCCCCAAGCCCTCCCGTGTCCCCAAGATGTCCCCACTCTGGGTCACCTCCCTAACCAGGTACTGGGACACCAGTCACTGATGTCCCCACCGTGTCCCCATCATGTCCCCAACCCCTCAAGTGGCCCTTCATGATGTCCCCAAGCCATCCCCAACCCATCCCAGTGTCCCCATGCTCCCAGCATGGCTCTGGGTATCCCCACCATGTCCCCATATCTCTGGCATGTCCCCCTCCATGTCCCCACATGTCCCCAGTGAGGCCCTTTGTGTCCCCAGCATATCCCCCCATTTCCCAGGCATGTCCCCACGTGTCCCACAGGTCCCCACTGTGTCCCTCCATGACCCAGCAGGTCCCCGTGTACCCACCAGGTCCCCCCTTTACCCCATGTGTGTCCCCATATGTCCCCATCATATCCCCAGGGGATCCCCATTTCTCCAGCATGTCCCCTATGTCCCCTCCATGTCCCCAGGGGGTCCCCATGTGTCCCCACCATGTCCCTCCATGTCTCCATTTCCCCAGCATGTCCCCAAATGTCTCTTCATGTCCCCAGCGTGTCCCGCTAAGTCCCCACCACATTCCCAGGGGGTCCCCATATGTCCCCACCATGTCCCCATGGGGTCCCCATTTCCCCAGGATGATCCCATACATCCCCACCATGTCCCTCCATGTCCCCAACAAGTCCTCGTTTCCCCAGCATGTCCCCATATGTTCACAAAATGTCCCCTAGGGGTCCCCATTTCCCCAGCATGTCCCCAGGGGGTCCCCGTTTCCCCAGGGTGACCCCATATGTCCCCACTATGTCCCTCCATGTCCCCAGCGGGTTCCCATTTTCCAGCGTGTCCCCATATGTCCCTCCATGTCCCCAGAGTGTCCCTTTATGTCCCCACCACATTCCCAGGGGGTCCCTGTTTCCCCAGGGGGTCCCCATATGTCCCCAAGGGGTCCCCATTTCCCCAGCATGTCCCCATATGCCCCCTCCCCGTCCCACACGTGTCCCCGCTGTCCCCCGTGTCCCCTCTGACCTCTCTGTCCCGCCGCTGCAGCTCAGCGGTGGCCGCCCCCTCGCGCAGGCTCAGCTCTAGCCGCCTCACCCGCCGTGTCCCCGCTGTCACCGCCGCCCCCAGTGTCCCCACCTGAGGCACCCAAACGTCTGGGAACGGCCCAGGAGGGACCCAGACAGCCAGGAGACCCCCCCCAGATGGAAATAGGTGACGTCTCCACAAGGGACCCAGGCCCCTGGCAAGCCCCCAGCACCCCTAGAAGAGACTCAGGAACGTCCCTGGGAGGGACCCAGGTGCCCAGGCACCCCAAAACCCCCTGGGTGGGACCCAGGTGCCACCACCAGGAGGGACCCAGGAGTTTGGGTGCCCCCCAAACCCCCCCAAGATGGGACCCAGGTGTCTGGGCACCCCCTAAACCCCCACATGGGACCCAGTTGCCACCCCCAGGAGAGACCCAGGAGTTCAGTAACCCCCCAAACCCCCTGAGATGGGATCCAGGTGCCACCCCCAGGAGGGACCCAGGTGTCCAGGCACCCCAAAACCCCCTGGGTGGGACCCAGGTGTCACCACCAGGAGGGACCCAGGAGTCTGGGTACCCCCCAAACCCCCCCAAGATGGGACCCAGGAACCCCTCAGCAGGGACCCAGGTGTCTGGGCACCCCCTAAGCCCCCAGATGGGACCCAGGTGCCAGCCCAGGAAGAACCCAGGTGTCCGGGCACCCCAAACCTCCCTGGATGGAACCCAGGTGTCACCCCCAGGAGGGAACCAGGCATCCACGCACCCCCCAAAATGGGATACCAGGAACCCCTCAGCAGGGGCCCTAGTGCCTGGGCACCCCCAAAACCCCCAGCTGGGACCCAGGTACCCACCCCCCATGAGGGACCCAGGCATCCAGGCACCCACCTGCGCCCGCAGCACCCGCTGCACCTCCTCCTGCACCCGCAGCTGCACCAGGAGGGTGAAGACCTTCTCCCGCCAGCGCCCCAGAAGCGCCTGCAGCCGAGGGGGGGCCATTGCTATGGGCACCCCAGGGGGGGGCAGCTGGGGGGTAAGAGGGGGAGGTGTGGGTGCTCTGGGGCACCCAGACACCCCCCTGACATCCTGTCCCCTCCCCACAAGCACCCATGTCCATCCCAGGGGCACCTGAGACCCCCTGAACACCCCAGAACGTCCTCGTTGCACCTCAGTGCCCCCCCAGCACCCCCAAAATCCCCATTAGTGGCACCTCATGGCACCTCAGGGGGGCTCCAAATCCCCCCCCTCCTCCAGCACCCTGGGTCACCCCCACTCCCTGTGGCACCCCAAAAACCATTCCAAGGCACCCTCAGCCCCTCCAGCATCCCAGGGATACGCTGGACCCCCCCAGAGCACCCCAAGACTCACTCCCTCCCAACTCCCTGGGTTGCCCCCTTACCACCCCCCCCC